AATTTGATTAGATTATCAATTACCCCTATAAACAATTACTTATTTTTATGATTTGCTTAAAAAATAATAATATGAATATAAAAATAAAATAAAATAACTCGTCCTACAATTATCGGAATCATAGCTCTTCATGAATATAATATATTATAGCGAGAGACATAAATATAATATTATATCCTATACAATATAAAAGATAATAGATAATATTCTGCAAAAGAAGAAGAAGATAATACGGTAGATAGTAAATAGATAATAGATAAATGTGCAGGCCAATCTGACTAAATTATATTTATCTCAGTTAGTATTTTTTTAAAATAAAGTCAAATATTATTAATACATAAAAAAAAATTACAGACCCAAAAAACCCCTTGGCAGAACATTTAAGGGCCAAACATAGCAGGACAAAAGAAAATAACAGAGGACAAGCAGGCTCAAAAGAAACATGTAGGCATCATGCACCGAGCACCATAAAGACACCAGACAGACCTGAAAAACATACGAAACCCAGAGAAGCAAAGCTCAAATCATGCTTATCTTGATCTTGCAAATGTTGTTGAGTTGAACTCGCAATGATGATATGAAGAACTGGCTTAAAAGCTAATTCACAATGAACTGATTTAAGTGCAGCGAGTAAATTACTGAATCATACAAGTTTTGATTTAGTAAATCTTCTCACAAGGATTTTGAAAGCCAAAGCTTGATATGAGGAAAATCCATGACATTGGACAGAGCATATCTGGATGAATCAAGGAAGCAAAACCTGGAACAAAGCAAACGAAACAGAACAAGACAAGAGAAAAACATTGCAGCGCAACATTTTGGATTTCCATGCAGCTGCAATGCATGGAGATCCTCAGCAAAATCATAAAAGTATGCGAGGTTCTTTGGGAAGAATCTCGCAAAACCCCAACTCTGTTCCACTGCTAAAGAATAGAGTTTGCTTGCGTTTGAGGTATGACCGAATTGAGCCTGTAATGGTAACAAGTCCGAAATCATCTCTGTTAGTATTTGAAAAATTATATGAACTTTATTTTATTTTAAAGAAAAAACACAACTTTTAATCCCTATATTTTTGCACGTAATTTGCCATTAATTCCTACATTTTATTTTCGGTGTTCTAAGTTCCTACCATTTTTTTTGTCTACACTTTAGGTCTTGGCACTTTTAAAGGAGTGTGGATGAGGCATTAACGGTGTTAATTATATTGATGTAGATACATTTTTAATTATATGATGACATATTAGTTGGTGGCTCATGTGTATTTTTTCTATGACAAAAAAAAAAAGCTTATATGTAATCCCTCAAATCTTTATGAGAAGACACTTTTAATCATTTTACGCATCTTAAAAAATTCATTTTTTTAATATCATAAAAAATGATATGTACTTTCATTTTTACTCTTGGCTTTAAATAATGATATAACTACATTAAATACTTTCACATTAATTAATAAAAGGTAAAATTCAAAAAATAATTTAATTATTACAAAGTGTCTTATCTTTTAGGCAAAAAAATTCTTCTAAAATATGTTTTGTAAATAGGACCCGAGGGAGTATTTTTTTTTAATAATCAAAAAGTGAAAAGAATTTGTCCTAATCCCAAACCTAAAGAATATATTTTATAGACATTGAAAAATAATAAACCATCTCGAATCTAACACTAAACCTGACTTTGGAGCACAAAATTACAAGAAAAATACTCTGAAGCACAGAATTGTTGCGAACTTAAAAATGGACACGTAACATTTTCTTGTAATCTTAAATCCTATTGTTATATATATAATAATTATTAAAAAATACACATCAGTTTTTTTCCTACAAAAAATACACACAAGCTTTTTTTTTCAAAAAAAACTCCCTCTGTTCAAAAATATAAGGTATTTTTAACTGAATCTTACCCCAATAAAGTAGTTATCTACTTTCAAATTAATCCTATTTTTTATATTTATCCCTATTAAACACTCTATAATAAATATAAAGTCATATTAATATAGGCACTTTTGAAAAAAAAAATAACTATACTTTAAAAGACTAAAAATGCCTTACATTTTTTAACATCCAACTCTTTAAAAAATATCTTATATTTTTGAACGGAGGAAGTACACATTAGCCATTAACTAACACGTCACTATATAATTAACGGTATTATTATCCATATCAGCATAATTAACACCGTTAATATCACATTAGCACCCCTCTGAAAGTGTAGAGACCTAAAGTGAAAACGGAGAAAACTGTAGGGACTTAAAATATTAAAAATAAAGTGTAGAAACAAATGATAAATCATATGTAAAGTGTAGGAATTGAAAATCATGTTTTTCCTATTTTAAAATTAAACATGTCAACATTATTGTAGAATCAAATAACAATTTGACTCTTAAACTATGATTTCTACAATTTCTTTTATGTAATTTCTTAGTTTTTTCTAATAATTTTTGAAATATTTTTTTAATTTGTTAATCAACTAACTCTTAAAGTTAAGGGAAAACCACATCTCAGTCCTATAGTGTTACATTGTTTTGATCCTGATCCCTATAATTTTTTCTTCAAAATACACCCCTCATAATTTACGCCGTTAGAAATCTGAAAAATAGTTTTAGGACCATGACGTGCACAAATGACATTAAAATTTTATATGTAGTTACTTTGTTGTAGCAAGTGGCACAACATGCTTGATCAAAATTGAAACCCATGCTAACAGGGCAACTAAGAAACCTCACCAGACGCTGAACCTTGAACGATCTACTGATTGTTAATACAGGACCTCAAAACGTTCTACTCACCTTCTTCTTCCAAGCATCTCGCCGACCTTGAGTCCATTCATACTACAATGCCTTGATTTGTGCCATCTCCTCTAATGTGCTTACCACCTTCATCTTTGAAGTCTTTGCAACTGTGTCTTTGAGTTGTCTTGACATTCAATTGGCCTTATGGCATCGCCACTTTGTCTCCCTTTTTAATTCCCCATTGTAGTCCTTTTGGTGATTATACTATAAATTCAGGAGTTTATATTTCTTTGACAATATTCCCTAAACTTTGGCTTCCTTTTATGATTTGGTGATGCATTAAAGCAAAATCATATCCAAAGTCCTTACTATAACAACCAAAATAGTACGATTTATTAGCCGTATGAAAAATAGAAAATGCTTTAATGGCCACTAAACGTGGATCAAGATGGTTAACGTGTGCATGACAATACTTGCAAGATAAGCTTTTAGACGTACCCCCAAAAAAAAAAAAAAACTTTACACTATATATACATATACATAAACATACATACATGTATATTTCAGAAGTTATTTTGATAACCTCGGTTTTTTGTCGTAATAACAGAGATATACAGAGAATCCTTTACATTGTACTATTCTAGGCGTTAGGTGTGTGTGAGCTGAGATGATTAAATATGAATGCAAACATAAAAAAGGGCGTGTATTCAGTTCTTAGAAAAATCATCTATATGAGATACTCTTTCGCCATTACAGAATGTGCATTATCATCTCCACAGGATCGGAAAGTCCATTGAAACATGACAATAATTTTTTTTAAAAAAATCTAGACCCATAGTTCAAAGAAGAATTCAATGATCTCCCTCGATCTCTGGCCTGTCTACAGTTTTCTTGATCTCCCAGAGAAGAATTTGATGGTTTCCCTTCCCTGTCTTGAACTCTTACTCGTTCCAAACAGCTTTCTCCTTTCGATCTATACAACCCGACTCCTCTTGGCAACACCTCAATATGTTTACTTAATATGCGTGGCAATGTATGTCCTTATGTGTTCTTGGTCAGACCTTATTTAGAAACACGTCATCCCCCATCACCTTAAACTAACGGAATGCGAAAGATTTACAGACGGAAGGACTAAGTATGAGGACCTAGTTAAAACAACAGAAAATTACAAGGACCTTATTTAAAATTTGGTGAAACTATAAGTATCCGAAGATTAATTTTTCTTTAAAGTTATTGATGGAGAAGATTGCAATGATTTTAAATATTTAGAGTAAAAATGTTTTAAACAAAAAAGAAGAGGAAGTTTTGAATTCTAAATATTCTTGAATATCCAGTTGAAGGCCAAATTGTCATTTATCCTTATTTTTACTGTATCATCTCATTTCCTGAACTAATAAGTAATGACATGCAATCAATGGAATCAAAATATGCATCGTAAAAATTTCATTTATTCTGGGCCAAAAAAGCATTTCATTTATTACGATAACAAAGTCTTCACTATTTATTACTTTGAGCACTTCAACCATTAATGTCAACGCGTCAACCGAATGATTTTTTTTTTTTAAAGAAAACATTCAATTGCAACTACTTGCATTGTATTATGAATTAATATTACATTTTTAATCAAAGCAACATTTTTATGGCCTACTATCAAAGCAACAAAAAGTCTATATGTTTATACATAAAATAATATAACCAATAGTAAATTATAATTTTTTATCAGGACCAATATATTATAATATAATCAATGTATAATTTCATATCTAATGATATATTTTTAACTCAATCTTATAATATTTATTTATCTCGGATTTCTATTTCTTTTAAAAAAATATGTTTAAACAACCGCATTTATCAAAGAGATTAATTTAAAGAACCGCATTTATCACCTTCCATGTCAGGTTTTATTTACTTTAAACGAGCGTGGGCCCGTTGAATTTTGTGTTGAACGTGGGTGATGATCTCAAAAATTCTCTAGTTCTGTACCCAAAAAAAAAAAAAAAAAAATTCTTAGTTCTTCTCACTCATAACTGAGAGCCTATAAATTGGAGGCCTTCCTTCTACGTATCCTTGTTGCTTCACGTTGTTCTAGCTCCTTGATCAGAGGCACCTGCTTCGGAGCCTATTAACTTCGTCTTCGAGGATTTTGATCACACTCTCTATCTCTATTTCTGTTACAGGTTTTGTAATTTTTGATTCCCCCAGTTTAATTCTGCTTTGCCATTGACTGAGCTCACTGCATTGAGTCAACACACCGTAACAATATATTGAGAAGATGGGTTCCATTGATACTCCAACGAGGTTGCTGGCGCTGCCGGGAGATTTATGCGATTATGATGCTTTGTTGATGGACCAGTTCCTTAACGTTCTTCAGGATTTGCATGGCAAAGACATCACACAAACGGTATTATGATTTTTTGCCCCGTTTTTATTCTACGCCTTTCAGTGTGGTATTTCATGTCTAGGTTAGTTTTCGGGTCAGGGAAAGATCATCTTTGTGACAGACTTTTTACTGATTTCTGAAAGCCCATATGAGTTTTCATGAAGTTATGAACTATTAGAACAAAGTCACCTGGTAAGGCTTATTTCTTCATTCTGATCAATGTTGCAAATTTTTCATCCATAAAGTTACGCATTTATCGGTTTTGATCAAGGTTTTGTAATGCACCAGGTGTTGGAAGCCCAAGTTAATTATTCCCCAAGGAATTCAAGGATCTTTTGCGTTATATAGATTTCATTTTGATCTTCCGTGGTTTGAGCAGTTGTGTTAATCGGAGTGTGGTTTTATGGAAATTTTTCATTTGCGGTCATATATAAATTAACCTTTCTTAGAGGAATCAGAGGATATATGTGTATGCATGTAAATGTTTAATCATAACACATCAACCCCATGGCCACATAAAATTTGCTGCTAGAGTCTGCGTTTTATGACTCACTGAATTAGTGATCTGATGATGAATAGGTTCAAGATTGCTATGAGCTGTCTTCTGAGTATGAAGAAGAGCATGACCCTGACAAGTTGAAGCAGCTCGAGAACAAGCTGACTGGTCTTGATGCTGGGGACTCAATCATGGTGGCCAAGTCATTTTCTCACAAGCTGAATTTGGCCAACTTGGCTGAGGAAGTTCAGATGGCCTACCAAAGAAAGACTGAGTTAATAGAGAATTGTGACTCGGATGATGAGAACACTGAATCAGACATTGAACGGACCTTCAACAAGCTTGTGAAGAAGAAGACTCCTCAAGAAGTTTTTGATGCTTTGAAGAACCAAACTGTAGATTTGGTCCTTACTGCTCATCCTACTCCGTCTGTCCGTAGCTAGAAAAGCATGCTATGTTATTTCATTTCTTATGTTAACTCAACAATTTTCTTTCTTTTTTAATCTTTCTATTGACAAAGATTACCCCCTCTTTCAGGATAAGGAATATCTTAATCCAACCCATTCAAGATATAACACCAATAGATAAGGAGGATCCTCTTGTAAAGCTACAGAGAGAGGTGAGTAATAAATTACATCCAAAAACTTGGTAAGAAATTTATTCGCGGACAAAAACTAATAACAAGTCTTATTCAAGAAAAAACAAGTTCGTATTCCCATTTTAACAATGGTCTATTTTATATTAGTCATTGTCTTTGAATAAGTTTCTTGTCAGGTCTTTGAATGTACTTCTCCCTAAATATAATTTGGTTTATTTCCTATGTACACAATGCATTAATCATAGCCAGATGATTCTCCATGTATATTGCTCTTTCTTTCACCCAAGTCAAGTGTCTATATTTTTAATCATTGATGATTCAAAATTATAGAACATTTATTCACCAAAAAAAAAAATCAATGAATTCCTAAACTTGAAGAATATATATATATATATATATCAAATACATATATTTTCCTTCCCAAATAAAAACCTTTTTCTCCAATGAACTTGCAAGTTTTAAACAGGTAATTTAACTTAAAGACAGTAATAGTATGATATATATATGTGTGTGTGTATGTATATATATATATATATAATAGGACCACTTGTTTTATACCCAAATCATGCCCTTCTACCACGTATATTCCACTGAGACAAAGGGATATACAGTGATATGTTGACGCTGCCAAACCATAAAACTCCACCTACGAATAATGAATTTGATAAGTTTCTTGAATGTGATTATCCTTAAATATAATTTTGTCATTGCCATGTGCACACTAAACATTAATCAGAGCCCGATGATTCTTCATATATATTGCTATTTCTTTCACTCTAGTCAAGTGAAAGTCATCATTGATGTTGGCTTTAACTGTGTTAATCTGTCTGTTCCCCTTAGAACTTCCTTTTTTATATCTATTTAGTGAGATATTTATTGACATTATTGGAAGTAAATGTGTTTTATAGCCATGATTTGATGGCCCAAACTGTAGACGGCAAAGGATGTGGAAAAGGTATAACTCTGATGATGTTTTACTTAACCTGCAGATTCATGCTGCATTTTGTACAGATGAAATTAGAAGGAGTCCTCCAACCCCTCAAGACGAGATGAGGGAAGGAATGAGCTACTTTTATGAAACAATCTGGAAAGGTGTGCCTAAGTTTTTGAGGCGAGTTGACACAGCTCTGAAGAACAATGGAATAAATGAACGTGTGCCATATAATGCCCCTGTTATTCAATTCTCTTCTTGGATGGGAGGGGATCGTGATGGTATCTTTCTTTTCCTCAGGCAATTAATTAATATGCATATTCATTTGATTTTGCTTACCAAACCTTTCCTCATAAAGTAATGTTCACATCATTGAATTTCCTTGCCTTTTATTTTTCTATGTATTCATGTGGCATAAATTCTAAGATATCTGTTTACCTGGCCCTTGATTCTTCTTCAATGGACTCTCACCATCACTCTCTTCTGCATGCCATTTGAAGCGTTGCTTGTAATCTTGCACTATACAGTTCTTTGCTTCCTTACAATATGCCCCATGTTTGTTGCAGGAAATCCCAGAGTAACCCCAGAAGTTACTAGAGATGTTTGCTTACTGGCTAGAATGATGGCTGTTAACTTGTACTTCTCTCAGATAGAAGGTCTTATGTCTGAGGTATAATATAGGCTGGTTAATACCTTCAATTTTTCCTGTGTAGCATCAAGGCCATTGCTCTTATTGCACAACTTGCTTAGTTCTAACTCCTTTTTCTGTTTGGCAGTTGTCAATGTGGCGCTGCAATGACGAGCTCCATGTTTGTGCTGATAAACTCTATAGTTTGTCAAAGAGGGATGCAAAACGTTATATTGGTTAGTAGCTCTGATATTATGTTTTTATCTGAAGGATGCTTCTAACTTTTGTTGGCTTTATAACAGCATAATATGTAATTGCTTTTACTTAACATGTCATAAACTAGTTGACTACTGAAACTGA